CGATTTTTGGGGGAGGGAGCAGGGGGCCCCCTTCGCGCGGCAGGAAAAGCCCGCCAAAAAGCCCAAGGAGTTTTCCTTCAAGTAGGACCCGACGTGGCCCCGCGAGAAGCGGCAGCACACGTGTTGCCCTTACCCCGAAACGGAGGTTGTGTGGGACACCCAGGGGGCGGGGATCGCCCTTTGGGACGAGGACCCTTTGGGGGGGAACAATTACTTGGGGGGGTTGGACCTGGCCCTCCAGAACAAGGGGGGCCCCAATTTCCCTTTTGTGGGGGGGGAACCGGGGGAGGATTTTTCGCTCAAGGGCAACAACATCCGGGGGGGGGTCCCCCCGTTTTGGCACAAGCCGATGGATTTCGGGGTTTCCCCCGAGTGGGACGGTTCCCCCAAGCACGGGTCCTCCCTGGGCCTTTGGGTCCCCCCCTGGGGCCCTCCGGGGGAGGGGGCCGCCGCCCCCCCCCCCCCTCCCTCCCCGCCGCCCCTGAACCCCCCCCCCTTCCTCACCCCCCCCCCCCCCCCCAAAAAACTCACCCCGGGGACTTCCCTCCCCCCCCCCCCCCCTCTCCCGCTGGCCGACCCTCTGCCTCCCACAGCCGACCGCCTCCCTCTTCCCCCTCCCCCAGGTGAGAGGCGCTCTGCCTCCTGCCGCGGCTCGCACCCGGCGGGTCGACGACGCATCGCGCGCATCCAAGTAGTGGGGGGGCGTACAGGAAAGGCGATGCCGCCCGCTGACCGGCGGGTGACGGCTGCTAAACCCCGAAGGGCGCATCCGTCAGTTCTCACCTCACACAGAGAGCCACTGTGGCGTCCACTCGCCGGACCACTCGAGGGAGTCGAGGACGGGGCGGGCGCTGGGGCGGTGTCACTGTTGTGTGCTTGCGGGGGTCGTGCATCGTCTTTGTGTAATTTATTTCTTCGGCGCTGAGCCGCAATACAAGAGAACACACAAGTCTCTCTCTGTCACTATCTGTGACTGTGTATACTGTGTCTCTGCTCTCTCTCGTGTGACTTACCGAAGTACCGTGACAGACACATTTTTCCGAGCGGAGGGCTCGCGAGACCGAGAAGCTCGCGTGCACGTGGCCCGCGGACGCGGTGCGCCCGGCGGGGTGTAGCGGCCGTACCCCGTACGGCGCCAATCTCTCTCGGCCTCGAGATCTCGGCCTCTCCGTCGCCGCACCCCCGCAGTGGCCAGTGCCGCCCGCCCGCACGACGAAGTTTAACTTAAAGACGACCACGAAGATATCTTCGTACCTCGAGGTACTTCGACACCGGCGCAAGCTCAGGCGGCATCGGGCCATCGGCATCATCTCGCGCACTGACACTGGTTCACGCTGATCCGACCCGCTGTGGCACCCGAGTGCGGCGTCCGGCGTGGGTGCAGTGACGAGCGAGCGATACATTGCGAGCGCGGAGCGGCTCCACGTCGGACACGGGGCCGCACTGCGGACTCGCGGAGGAGGGCTGCTGGCCGCTGGAGAGTTGGAGGTTCGGGACGCCGCCCCCGCCAGGCCAGCGCGGTTGCACGGCGGATAGATGTGGCGCAACCGCACACGCTGAACAGGGGGATGGTGCCTGCTGCTGGCGCGGGCAAGCTTTGCTCTGTCTGTCATGGCCGCGTGGATTCGGCGGGGGAGGGGAAGGGGGGAGGGGCGCGGTGCCGTGCCACGGTCGTCAAAAGCGCTGTCGACCGACGACCCGAGCCTTGGCCCGCGGGCATGCGAGTATGAGGCTCGGCCTCGGCTTCTCCGAGCACCGACCGGCGGCGGTGGCGTCTGCACAGAGTGCGTTCGCTCGCTTGAGCGACTCGCACGGTGCGGAGCCGGCTCCGAGATCCAACCCCTTGGCTATCCTCGCGAATGCAGGAGGGACTCGAGCCTCGCGACGACCATTTCCACTGCCACCGGGTTCATCCCATTCGGCACGATGATGTCGGCAACCCGCTTGGAGGGCTGCACATATTTGTCGTGCATCGGCTTCACCGTCTCCTCCCACTGCCCGATGATGGCATCGACGGAACGGCTGCGCTCCACGATGTCGCGGCGGAGGCGGCGACTGAAGCGAAGGTCGGGCTCGGCGTCCACAAAGATCTTGATGTCGCACGCAGTGGCGAGCTCGGGCACGGAAAAGAGGAGGATGCCCTCGACGAGGATGAGCGGCGCGGGCGCTACCCGCCGGGGCTGCTTCCGGCGAGTATGGGTCGCAAAGTCATAGACGGGGACGTCGATCGACCCGCCACTTTTGAGCAACAGGAGGTGCTTTTGAAGCAGGGCTGCGTCGAGACTATCTGGATGATCAAAGTTCGCCTTTGCCCGCTCCGCGGAGGTTTGGTGCGCCAGGTCCTTGTAGTACGAGTCAAACTCCAGATGAAGGAGCTGCTTTCCCAGCCGCTTGGCAATGGCACGAGCAAGGGTTGTCTTGCCGGAGCCGGAGCCCCCCGCTATGCCAATCACGACGGGGCTCTTGTGCTCGGACAGGGCCATCCGTTGAGGGAGGCGGTCGCTCGGGGGAGAGGTAATGAGTGCGACCGACTCCGTCCTGCGTGGGAGTCGGTCGCTCGGCGGAAGTTTTAGGGGCGTGGCAGTCTCCTGTGACGAGCCAATCTCGGCCAGTCCGACCCCAAAGAGCGCCAGACTCCCCACGGAGAGCAGCCCGAGCATCAGGATGGGCTGGCGGCCGCGAGTGGGGGATGCGGGCCCGGCTACCACCATTGCGAAGCGCGCGTCGCCTCAAACGCGCTTCGTCGTATGGCCGAACGCGCCGAACGGGGGACGACCGAGTCCCACAGAGCGACCGGCATTTCTTTTTCAGCTAGATCAGCACACCCGCCGCCACCGCGCCAAGTTCTTTTTAAATGTGGCGAGTTCTTTTATTCATTTTAGGAAGGTGTGGCCAGCTCGTGGGAACGCAGCCCCCGTGGGAACGCCACCCCCATTAGAGGGAGCACGCCTCCGGGCCCACCCCCGCTCCTAATTGCGCACCGCCCCCGTGCGCGGGGACGTGCGCAGTGGCGCTCCTTTTCATATGAGAGTCCGGCGACCAACGGCGTCAGCTCCGTGCCGCGCGTGTCGCTGCCCGCCGAGGAGGGAGGAGCGACCAGCGTCTCGGGCGGCGGAGGCGGCGGGCCGGCGGCGGTGGCGGCGGAATCGCGAGCACCGGCTGAGCGAGCTCCTCGATTGCAAAGCTCACGGCCGCCTACTCGGGAGGCCGAGCCGCGTGTGCAAGGCAAGGGGTCAGCGGGGCGGCGGAGTCCTTCTGTCCTGCGGCGAGCGCCGCGCGGAAGCGAAAAAGAAAGAAAGAAAACAGACAACCCAAGGGAGGGATGGGAGGACGGCACGCCGCCACCACACAGGGATTGCGTGCTCCTCTCTCGGCCTTCCCACTTCTTCCGGCCGTGCTTGCGCGGGAGCCCCAAAAATGGCTTCTAAAGAAGCCCTGTTCATCGCCTTGGACGTCTCCGACTCGATGCGCCCGCACCTGGACGACGTCACCGGCGCGGTGCAGCGGATGCTGTGTGACAGGATCTTCCACTCCAAGCAGGACGCCGTCGGGCTGCTCAAGGCTGGAGCCGACGCGACCGACAACGAGGTTGCGCTCCAGATGGGCGGCTACGATCACATCGCGGTGGTCGGTTCGATGGGGCCTGTCGGCATGAAGAGAATCGAGAACGTCGGCGCGATCCACGCCGAGTCCGGCCGCGCGGACCTGATTGACGCCGTGGTGGTCGCCGCCGACGCGATTGCCCGATATGTGCGCAAAAACAAGTGGAGCAAGCGGGTGCTGCTCGTGAGCGATGGCGCAACGTCGAGGGCGGAGCTGGACGAGGAGCAGGTCGCAGACATCGCCTCGCAGCTCGCCGACAACCACATCGTGCTCGAGGTTGCGGCACTCGGGCCGCTGGGCGAGGAGGTGCGCGCCGCCCGCGCGCCCTCCTCCGCCGCGGGGCCGCCGCCTCAGTCGGAGGCGGGAGAGACGTGGGCCGCGCTCGCCAGGCTGGGGGCCCGACTCGACGCGCTGGGCAAGCCCGACAAGCCCAAGCCCTTCGTCGCGCGCGAGTGGTCCGAGGCAAAGAGGGTGTGGAGCGAGCCGCGCGCAAAGGCGACAAAGTCGACCGCCGCTTACCGCGGCCCGCTCGCGCTCGGGGGGAGCGGGGGCGGCTTCCTGCCCGTGCGCGTGTGGCGCAAGGTGGCGGCGAGCAACTCGGCGCCAGTCCTCTTCAAGAGCGTCACCAAAACGCGCGCCGCCGCCGCCGCCGACGACGGCGCGGCGGCGCCCTCGGAGTCTGTGGACCGCGACGTGCAGTGGGTGCTGAAGAGCGACCTGGACACGCAAGTCAGGCCTAACGAGATGGTGGCGGCCTACCGATACGGACGCGACGTGATCCCGGTCGCGGGCGCGCTCGAGGAGAACATGCGGTACGGCGTCCCCGAAAAGTGCCTCGAGCTGCACGGCTTTGTGCCGCGCGCCTCGGTGCCGCGCCACTACCTCCTCGGGCCGTCCGAGGTGCTGGTCGGCGACGACGCGGTGGCCGGCGCGGACAAGGCGGTGCAGGCCCTCTGCTACGTCCTCGACGAGGAGCGCCTCCTCGGGATCGCGCGCTACGCGAGGAGCAAAGGGCTCGCGCCGCGGCTCGCGGTGCTCTGGCCCAGCGCGAGCGGCTGCCTCCACCTCAACATCCTCCCCTTCAGCGACGAGGTCAAGGCGCTGCAGTGGCCGCCGCTGCCGCCCTCGCTGGCCGCGCCGCCCAGCGCAGAGCAGCGCGCCGCCGCCGACGCCCTCGTCGACGCGCTCGACCTCGACGCCGCCGCGTGGCGAGGCGCAGACGCGGAGGCGCGCCACCCGCAGGGGTTGCTGGCCCGGCGCGCGACCCCGCGAGCGCCATGAGGCTGGCGCGGCCACCGTAGGCGCGCATCTCCGAGCTCGAGCCGCAGGCGCGCGCGCTGCTCCGCCGCCCGAAGGACGTCCTCAACCCGCAGCACGCCCGCCTCCAGCAGATCGTCGTGCACCGCGCTCTGCACAAGTCCGAGGCGCTGCCGCCGCCGCCGCCGCGCCTCGTTGCTCCGCTCCAGCCGGGCGAGGACCTCTTCACGGCCGCCCGGCCGGCGGCGCAGCGGTTCGCCGCCGCCTGCCCGACGGGCGAGCTCCGCAAGCCCGGCAAGCGCGTCTTCAAGGAGGCGGCCGGCGGCGCGAAGCGGCCGAGGGCCGGCGAGGCTGGCGGCGGGCGCGAGTCACCCGGTGGCGGCAAGAGTGGCGGCAAGAGTGAGAACGGCGGCGGCGGAAGCGGAAACGGCGGCGAAGGCGGCGGCGGCGGCGGCGGCGCAGCTGTGGAGGACTTACCGCCTCTGGGCGGCGGCGGCGGCGGCCTCCGCATCGACTCTGGGCGCCCCGTCGAGTGCTTTTGGCAGATGGTGTCGACCGGGGAGAGTGCGGTCCTCCTGGACGCGATGGCGCAGATGCGGAGCTGCTTGCTCTCGCTCTTCGACAAGGCTGGCCGACCCGACGACCCGGCTGCCCGCAAGGGCTTCGACTGCTTGCGCGCGCTGCGTTCGGCTTGCATCAAGGAGGACGAGCCGGACAAGTACAACGAGCTTCTCAAAAGCGTGAAGGCCCAGTGGCTCGGGGAGAGCGGCGATGCCGCGCCGTCGCGCGAGCCCTTCTGGCGCGTGCTCTGCGAGGACAGCGCACTCTCCGCCGGTCTGATAAGCTCCAGCGAGAACGACGACTCGAGCGTGAGCGCGGCCGAGGCGCGCGCCTTCCTCCGCGAGAGCAGCGCTCCTGCCCCGGCCGCAGCCCCGGCCGCAGCGGCGTCCAAGCCCGCCGACGGGGAGGAGGAGGACGACTATGATGACTTGGAGTAGCGCCATTTCCAATCGTGCGCCTCGCGCCGGCGTGCGTCCTCGTCCAGTACGTTTGCTTGTACTCGTGCGTCGTTGTGTGTATGTTCGCTGCATGTGCATTTGCGTGTGTCGTGTGTGAGAGAGCGAGGACCGAGTGGCGAGGTGCCTGTGGCCTGTGGGCTTGTGCACGTTCGCTCGCTCCACAGGCGGCACAGCGCAGCGCTCGGCGGGGACAGGCGAGGGGTCGGACCCGTCTACCGCTGCATGCGTCCGGCCCGTGTTCCCGAGTCCGCCACACAATACTCTGATAGTAAAAAAGAGTGCGCAGCGAAACCGAGAAAATCCCACTAGCTTTCACCGACGTGACCCGACGTGCGACGCTGTTCAACGCCGCTCCGAACCTCGAGAACCTGGCCCGCGCACATAACCTGGCCCGCGCGGCGACCCGACCGATGGCGAGGTTCATCGATCATGCCCGCTGAGCTCGGGTGCATGTAGAGTCCCGCGGACCCACCCTCGGCCTAACCCACGGGAGCCTCCAAACATCGCGTTCACCAACAGGAGGAGGTCGCCAGTCGGCATCAGTGCCCTTTGCTGGTGCCGCCGCGGGCCGGAGAGGACGCCAGCCGGGCCGCTCACAAGCCCTCGGGCGCGCCCCGCTTGGTGCCCCGCCGGTCGTCGTAGCCGCCGTACCCCTGCATTGCCGCGCCGTTGTAGTAGAGCGCAGCGTTCCCGCCCGCGGCGGCGGCGGCAGCGTACTGAGCGTCGTAGCCCGGGTACTGCTGCTGCCCGTAGGCGGCGTACTGCTGCTGCGCCTGGTACTGCTGGCCGTAGGCGTCCGCGGCCGCGGGCTGGCCTGTGGCGCGGGGTGGCGGGGCGGTGACGGTGCTGACGGGAGAAGGGGGGAGGGGGGAGGGGGG